GATGGCGAGCGTCTACCGGTGTCTCGGGGCTGGGGTCACCTATGACCGGGCACTGATTGATGCACTGGCTGTCTTAGTTCAAGGGTCAGCGAAGATATTCATAGTTGGTGACTTTAACTCAACTAATATAGATCGGAGGCCCTCAATCCTTGACTTAGCTATTTCTTGAGCAAGGTCAGAAAATGTTAGTCTCACAATAGAGGTCCCCTAAGCAGAAACCACCACGCGGTTTTTCAGTTCAAATTACTGGCGCAGTACATTAAGCTAGAGATCAACATGGTTCGCTGTATGGGAGTGAACAAGAAGAGAGTCTTCGATAGGCAGCGTTAGGTTTAAGCTGGGAACCGTCAACAGCTGATCCTACCATCAAAGAGAGATGGACTGCAATTAAAGATAGTTTACTGAGGCTCACCGAAGAGTTTGCACTCCTGAGGCCTAGGAGACTCAAACAACGGCCACTATGGTGCAAACCATGTTTAGACAGGGCTCTGGCCACAAGAAATCAAATGTGGGCGCTTTAAAAACGGCTCAGTTCGTATCCGACATGGTGTAGCTACCAGGCAGCAAGAACTCATGCTCTGGCTATGCAGCGAATGGCTGGGTACGACTATGAGCATGGGATTGCGATTAAAGCGGTTTTATGCTTACCTCCAATCTCAACGGAGGGGATGGAAACGTTGGAAAACACTGATGGACGTCTTGCCCTAAGTAAGGAAGACAAAGCAAATGCACTTCTGGCTTTCTCTAAGGAACAGATAACCAGCACCGTTGGTTATGGCAGATTATCCCAGTGTGACATCACAGCTGACTGAAATAACTGTGACACCAGACGAAGTCCTTAACTAGTTAGCTGCCCTGAATAAGGTCAAGGGAGCGGGACCGGATAGCATTTATCCCCCTGTTGTTAAACTTCTGTCTATCACAGGCTCATCTAACATAATGGGGAAGGTGTCCTCGACGGAGGACCGAGCGAGGTTTTATCAGCCATCGAAAGATTGAACGATGTAATAAAAAAAGTTTTATATGGGTCGAAACAAAATAAT